TTTCGTCATCACATCTACAAGTGTTGTTTTATCTTTATATATCTGACCTGTCTTCACCTTTACACTTTCTGAATCGATTATAACATTTGTAACTCCAAATTCAGGATTTTCATACGAATCAAATAAACTAGATTCAACCATTGCCAGAGCTTCTGTATCCTTTGTTGTGCCTTCTACACATGTAATTTCTCCACACGTTCCATCAAAGTTATGTACAGTACCTCCAATCTTTTAAATTATGTCAATACATAATGGATACATTGCAAATCCTGGCTCATTTTTTCAGTTCTAAATATAGTTTAACACCCATATCATTATTAACCTTCATTGGACAAGAGTTACCTTATACAATGTAACGAATTTTCAATATTTTTCCTTATACATCGATATTCAACTCGGCTGCAATTGCTGCTTTGAGATTCGAAAATGAAAATGAATCTCCAACAACGATTTTGTAACTTTCATACTGCAATTCGCTCACCCAAATTCCTGAATGCCTCAGCAAAATTGACGTATTCAAATTCTTGAATGCCTTAGCAATATTGATGCATTCATCATGTATCAGCCAAAATAACAGAATTCTAATTCGTATTTTTCGTCTTTTCAATAGATGTTCATAAAATTGTCTTCAATCTGGATGATATAATCTTGAATTTTGAAGTGTGATTCAATTACCTGCTGAATTATGGTTTCTTAATAATCAATTACCGTAACTGAAGCTGATTTAAATAACCAAATTAAATGTTCCATTTTTCTCCCTTTTTATCTCAACAATAGTTAATTAATGTGTATCATTTACTATGTATCAATTAATAGTAATGTATTAGGCGACTGCATTTTAAGGGATTTTATGTAAATAGTAAATTAGTCTGGACAGATTCTAATTATTATGTTACACTATGAAATTCCTTAAATTTTACTTTAAAAAAATAAACATCCTCAACTATATAACTTTTCTTTTATCTTATTTTTGTAGTACACGTAGGTATACAAAGATTTGTTATGGTGTCATACACTATACTTGTGCTACCATAATTAAAGATTCTTTAGTTAATTTTACAAAGTACAGAGGGGATTTTTTTCAAAACCAGATGATAATAATTTCGTTATTATGACAACAAAATTTCAATATTAAATACATGTTCAAACATAATTAAGTTTTTATAGTTATACACAGAAATAAATATAAAATATACCTAAACAATGCTATACTTTATTTAATCTCAAAATTTATCAATAACACACCATTTCAAATACTTAAAAATTATAAATTGTTTATTAAAATTTAAATATGAATATAAATAAATAAATTGACACATTTCAGCAACACTTACAAAGGAATAAGATACGCATTAAATTAAGTATTATTGAAATATATAAAAATGGATGATATATATATATATATATATATATATATATATATATAATCAAATCAATTGGTTTGCAACAAATTTTAAAGGCTTAAGTCATACACAGACACTTAAAGTTGTCCGCATATTTCATTTAGACACCTCAAGAAAGGTTTGTACCTATTAAACACTTATATTGTTCAAAATAAATATCTATTAAACATTTTTGTTGACATGGCAAAGAAAGTGCAGCACACATTTATTGAGCGCGTGAGAGGGGTATTTTAATGAATTTTTTTTTATCTCTCTTTTTCTTCTTCCTTCTTAAAGAGTAACTTTTCCAACCCTACCACCATTTTTAACATTTTAGAAGAGGGGAATCATGATCAACCAAAATAACTTAATGAGGAAAGAGAACAAGAAAAATGCAAAGAAATACAAAAGGGAAAGAAAACATACAAAAGAATCATGAAATTAGCTAGTGAAATTAGTTGTTTTATCAATTAGATGTGTCATTTTAAATCGATCACCTCATTAGAACAATTCCATCTAAATTGCAATAAGTAATTTTTTACCAGAAATTACACAAGACCCACAAAAGGAAACAACTAAAAAGATCCAAAACAAGTTAAATCACCCTTGATTTTAGGAATCAATGGGCATTACATAAAATTGAATCTTGGTTAATAAATTCCATTAACTTCATTTTTCCGGCTATGGTGGGTAAGAATTCATAAATTTTCGACAAAGCCCTAATTATCTTCCTTGTACCAACATTAAACAGAGAAGAATGTTACCGTTTAAGGGGTGTTAAAGTTGGAATGATGTTGGAGGAAAAGAAGGAATTGCCATGGGTGGGTGGGTTATTTTTTCTTTAGAATTCTTTTTAATTTTTTTAATTAGTTAAATAGATCAAAATAGTTATCTTTTAAAGTTTCATTTTTTAAATAATTTTTTGGACTCAAATACCACGTGTCATCATTCAATTTGTCATTCTGTCATGTCATCGTCATGTCATAGTGAGTGTATTACACACATTTCAGTTTTTTTGTTGATTAACAAAAAAATGTCCAATAGGTATTAATTTTAAGGGGCATAGGTGTTCAATAGGTACAAAGTTTAGTTGAGGTGTTTAAATGAATTATGCGGACAACTTTAAGGGGCCGTCGATGACTTAAGCCAATTTTAAACATATGGAAAATAAATAAATCATACAAATAAAATATGAAGAAATATAATTTTATTGATCAAGATAGATTGCGGGCACAATTCTGTTGATAACTTGATTCCACTCTCCTAAAATATTTATCCATGATTCGAGGGCGTGATTTAGATTTGACCTCTCTTTATGAATAATCCATCAATTTCTGGAATTTTCAAGATCTTGATATCTTTATCGAATTTCTGAGATATCTTTTAAAAGAATTTAGTACCCTTTATATAGGTAAACTAGGGTTTAAGGTTGAGTAGCCTTCAAGAATCCTAATTTGAGATAAACACAATTTGTAGAGTCCCAACTCGAATTGAACGCATCTTGTAGAGTCTCACAAAATTTCAATGTCTACACATACAATAACTATACAAATAATATTATACAAACGTGTGAATTATACAAAACAAAAAAGTTAAGTCGCGTAATTATAACTAAAAGTAGATCGTGAATTGTAATTAAGATAAACTATTGTAACTAATTAACTATTTTTATAAGTAAACATTTTAATTATATTTTAACCTTCTTCTTCAATTTATATCTACTTGCTTAATTTCTTTTGCCTAATATTTATTGGACCATGCCCTATTGTGTGAGACATTAAATTATAGCCATACAATAATATCGGTTGATAAATATATAATAATATCCGTTGATAAGCATTTCTTTTCTCAATAAGTTGTATGTCGAGTACGCTTGATGTACTTTATAAATATGCTTTGAATGAGAAAAAAGTACCAAAAATTATAGACATATGATATATAGAACAATCACATAAATATAAATTTTCCAAAAGGGAAGTTGCAAATGATTCTAGCACAATAAAGAAAAAAACATGCATATGATCACATAACATAATTAAGTGTTAACATTTTAACAATATTGTTGCTTCAACGAAGCAAATAGGATTTCATACTCTTCGTGCTCAAGGCTTTTTAGGCACTCGAGGGATTTTTGGCCTTGAAAAAGTTGGCGATTCAGGCTTAGGAATGACATGCATATCAAGTTTTAGCAATTTTGGAAGTTCACGCTTTGATAATGTTGAGATTTTGGGCAATTCGGGCTTTGGTAGTGTTGGTAGCTCGGATTTTGGGATTTCAGGAAATTCGAACTTAGGCAAAGTTGGAATTTCACGTAAATGTGACAATTCAGGCCTTGATAGAGTTGGTAGCTCGCGTTTTGGAATTTCAGGAAATTCAGGTAAATGTGGCAATTCAGACTTAGAAAACTCAGGCAAAATTACTTCAAGAAGATGACACGCGTCTGCTTGATTTATGAAGTTGTTTGTTAAAAACAAAGTAACAAATAATAACAAGTAAAAAGATGAGTAGTAGTGATTATTGGCCATTATATCGAAAGTTAATAAATGCTTCAAGACTAGTAATTTATGTTTTGGTTGATTATGCTAATATGCTTTATGTTTCACTTCAAACAAGTTTTTATAAGATGTGTGGTTGTGGAAAATAAAAATTGGAGAATCAAGCTTTGGTTGTGATTGGTAGGAAAAATTGTGTTAGTTCATCTTCTCAACGATAGCTTCATAAATTTAATATCACAAAAACTTTTTTTGTGTAACACATAATTTATGTAGATATATTCCTACAAGTCAACACACAAGGTCTCCCATGTAGGTAATCTAAAGAGAACATATATACTTTTCTTCAAAATTTAAGTTATAATAATCCGACCTCGAAATCATCACCATTATCGAACACCCATAACATAATCAGAACATGTACTATGCAAAAAGATCATTTATAGTCTATATTTTCTGTCCACTACAGCCACCCACGATGTAGTAAAAGTATTCGTTGTGAACCAAATCGATTTAGTATGGGCTTATGTGTTAGAAGTTTTGAATTAAACTGATTTAGATTGAAATATTGGGTCGAATAAATATTAGAAAATTTTATTTGCAATTCAGCCCAATTATCAATTGATTAAATATGACTAGGTAGTTGTTAACATAAGAGTTATGTGTAAAGTGTAGAAACTGTATGTTCTTCTCATCTTTTTTCTAGAGTTGAAACTTCTCAGCTTCATTCTTATCTCTATCTTTAGTTACTTTTTCTTGTAATACAAGAATTTAGGTGTTGTTATTATAATTTGACTATCAATACTTATATTAGTGTTTTAACATTTGTGTTGAAAATTCAGGTTTGTTTAAGCAAATATATGAACTTAAACATATTCGTACAAATTCTTCGCATCTTTAATTAAGATTACAAGATTAAAATATATTTTACTTTTTTTTTTCATATCTTTAGTTAAGATCACAATTATTATAACAAGAACAACTTTTAGTAGCAATAAACATATACATATTATAAAGAGTGTTAAAGATTTTCCGGCATTAGTCAAATATCATTAAATTCAATATCGTTAAAGGCTTTAGAGACATATACAACGAATTTTATATACTATATCAAATCAAAATCAGATAAACAAACTGAAATCGAGTCTTAGATTACAAATAAAGATGTGTATAATGTCACTAGTAAGACAAGTACATTAGTGAACTGAAAACAGAACAATTACATAAACAATTCTTGTACATAAATATCACATAAATAATCTTTCCAAAAGGAAAGCTTCAAATACATATATGATCACACAATACACAATACATTTTTAACAAGCCTCGTGCTCAAGGCTTTTTAGGCACTTAAGGCATTTTCGGCTTTGACAAAGTTGGCAATTCAAGCTTAGGAATGACAGGAATCTCGAGTTTTGGTAAAGTTGGAAGTTCAACCTTTGAAAATGATGGAAACTCCGGCTTTGGAATTTCTGGAAATTCGGGCTTTGGTAATGTAGGCAACTCAGGTTTTGGAATTTCAGGGAATTCAAGTTTAGGCAAAGTTGGGATTTCAGGTAAATGTGGCAATTCTGGCTTAGGAAGCTCAGGGATAGTTACTTCAAGAAAATTGCGCGCTTCAACTTGAATCACATAACTACTTGTTAAAAACAATGTGACGAATAATAACAAGAAAAAAGATGGAATATACTTATAAGCCATTGTATAAAGCCAGGTGATAAATTCTTCAAGACTTATAATTTATGTTTTTGTTGATTATGCATTAATTATACTTCACTTCAAACAAGTTTATATAGTGAAAGTAAAAATTGGAGAATTAGTTTTTGGTTGTGGTTTGGTATGAAAAAGTACTATGTTAGTTCATCTTCTCAACAATAACCTCCTAATTAATCTAACATGTATAATTACATGATTAATCAACATTATGTTTTTTTAGGTAATTGTATGTTTAATAAACATCCCTACATATATATTCTCGTTCAACTTTGTTTGTCTTTAAAAGTCACTTAACTTAGCCAAGTTAGCTTCCATAGTCATGATTACCCAAAATATTAGATTTGGTATTTATTTAATGACGTGGTAACTGTAAATTTTTACAAAAAAATATTTTAAATTAGATATTATGTTGCATATTGAAATATCACACTCTAGAGTCGATAAGCGATTTCATTGCAAATGAATATACTACAAAATTCTAGATGACTCGTGATCGCTAAATTGCAAGTAACTAACATTTTTTTAATAATTCATATTAGATAGAATTAGCGATGAGTTTTGCTATTTAGATAAATAATATATTTGTTCATCAATAGTTTTCTATTTTTGATAGTGATAGTGAACACGATTCAAAGTTTTCAGAGTATATAAATGTTGTGTACTATGCCATTAGAAATACAAGAACATTATATTAGTAAATTGATGGCATACCAATTACATAAATAATCCTTTCAAAATAGAGAGGAGGAAATGATTGTATCACAACAAAGGGAAAATATGTGATCAATGTTACTTCAATGAGGCAAAGAATATTTCACATGCCACGCGCTCATGGTTTTTTAGGCACTTGAGGGATTTTAGGATTTGATAATGTTGACAATTCAGTCTTAGAAATGACAAGAATCTCGAGTTTTGGCCATGTTGGAAGTTCACTTAGGAAATGGCGGAAAACTCGGCTTTGGGAATTCTGGAAATTTAGGCTTTGGTAGAGTTGGCAGGTCAGGTTTCCAAATTTCAGGGAATTCAAGCTTTGATAAATTTGAAATTTCATGTAAATATGGCAATTCAAGGTTAGTCAATATTTAGTGGCGACGACCTACCCAATATTTAAGTTATTGGAACTATTTTTTATAGAAAAAGTATTTCTAGTGGCAACCAATATTGCCACAATGGGAGTTCCTAGTGGCGTCCTTAAGAAGTCTTTATAAATAACATTCAGTTATAACTACTTTCCAGTTGCCACGGTGCTCAAATTGCTACAAATGAAATGATTTTCTTTTGACTTTTTGGGCTTCAATAACGATTTGTCGCCACTCACAGCTCAATTTCTAGTAGTTGCATCATTAATGAATGAGTTTCTATTGTCAATGCACTAGATGATAGCTCACACATTAGGCAATCCCTCTTCTACACAAGATCCCCTCTCAGATTCTAATACAAAACATGCCTATTATTAATGTCAACATAAAATTTGCAAAAGAGATATATTGTTTGGTGGTTGGGGGAGGTTCTTTTTTTATATATAAAAATAAGTGGTTAAACGTAAGACTGGGCATCAGACCGGAATATGCAGGTTGTTGATAGGTAACGAGATGAACCGGATCGAAATTACTGCAATGGAAGTTCGGTTTGATCCCGTCCCACAATATACCGGGATAGAACCGAGACGGACCGAAATGAGATAAACGGAATCACACACATAGCTATTTTAAAAAATAATAATTTTTTAAAAGTTATTTTAAATTACGAAAATATAAATTTTTTTATTTTTATTTTTCTAAGTTTAATAGTTTTGAAATCTAAAATTCAACTTTACTTATGTTTATTTTAAAGATATATTTTGTTTAATTTTTACTTATATATTTTTTTTGTTTCTTTTTTCAAACAAATTTATACCACTAGACATGACATCTAGCGGCCTTTATTAATAATAAGGTAAAAATCTCAATGTGAATAAATACAAGCAAGGGGGCTAGGCCTTGCCTTACCTTACCAATCCTAATTAGGTAACAAATCTCTACTAATTATCAAGCATGAAGAAAATAAGAGTTAGAGAAAAGCAAGTATTCTATGATCATCACGGAGTTTATTACACACTCTATGATGATATGACAAATGAAGATACTTATATAATGCAAAAATATATACGTCAAGAAGAGGGTTGAGTTTTCAACATCAAACTTCTTTTTAAATGTGTATGAACTAAAAAAGAGTTTGCCCATCTAGAGTAACCTGAAGTATTTTGGCTTAAGTCAGCAATAGCCCCTTAAAGTTGTTCGCATAATTCATTTCGACACCTCAACTGAGACTCTTACCTATTAGACACTTTAATATTAATAAATATTTATCTATTGAACATAAAATAACAACTACCTTTACAAATATTGTGCGTGTAATACACACTCGTTATCTTGACAAAAATTACGAATAGAACTACGACACGTGGCATATGGGCCCATAATTTTAATTTTAAAAAATAAAATTATTTTCCTTCATTTAATAATATATAAAAACTTATATTGATAAAAGAAAAATCTTTCCCACCACCCTCACTCCCACCTAACCCCTACCCCATCTAACTCACTGCCCTTTTTTCTTCATCTTCTTCCCTTCTTCTTCTCTGTTGTTCCACAATCACCATTCCACTGCATAACAAAAAAGAAAATGCCTAACCCCATCTTATTCCGAATTCATCCACCAAATGTTTTCCTTTTTCATTTTCTTCGTTATATGTTATTCCTTCGACGATTATTCCCATTTTGTAAATATAATCGACCTTGATAAATTATTTTGAAATCGACAACAAAGAGAAATTAAAATTATATCAAATATTTTATAGAATTTCTAATAAGTTTATGAATGGTGATAGTTGCTCAATTGGAGTTATTGAAAATAAAAATGTACAGATATTGGTCAATTTTTTAACTCCAAATAGTCCATTTTTTCTTCTTCTTGAAAATTTAGCAGGTACTTTGTTTATAGAAAATGAAAAAAAAATGAATCATAACAAAAGGCAGAGAAATTTGAAGTTTTTAAAATGGTGGGTTGATGCTTTCACTGATTTTGAACAATCTTCATCATTTTTTTTTCAAATTATCGTCCTTGTGAAGAGAAATTCGAACTTTGGAAACAGAAGAGATGGTGGCGGTGGCGGCAGCAGATACAGAGGCTGCTAAGAGAAGTGATTTCTTCACGTTATTTTTGGATGGAAAAATAAGGGATTTTGGGGAATTGAATGGATGGTAGTTTAAATGGTGGGTTGAAGGAAGATGAGTGTGGGGGTGTTTTTTTGTTTTTTTATGGTTAAAAAGATTTATGTTTAATTAAATTAATTTTTTATATATATTTAGTCAGTGCATGCCAAGTGTCAACAAAGTAGGTATAAGTATTTTTTAAAATAATTAAAAAAACGCATTCACGCGCTCAGCAGCAGTGAGATACACTTATTTTGTCACATCAGCGTTTTGTGTTTAATAGGCACATTTCTTGATAATTTAGGTGTTCAATAGGTATATGTCCTAGTTCAGGTGTCTAAGTGAATTATGTGGAAAACTTTAAGGGGCCGTAGATGACTTAGGCCAAGTATTTTCCTCTTGTCTTCTTCTTCATATCCATCCAATAACACTTGATAATTCATCACTTCTTTTGGACTTGTTCAATCTTGTCAAAGTTATTGAAAATGTCATATGATTCTGCTTTGTCATTCGCATTGGTAGGTGTCTTGACACAAGTTCATCAGTCACCTTATCATCCATCTATGTTGTCTTTCATGTGTCTTTTTTTTTTGTTGCTTCCACTTCTTTATTGCCTAGGTGAAAGATCCCCATCCCTAGCTACTTTATCAAAAAATATATCTAACATATTATCTTCTTCATCCTATTCAAAGAATTTCTCTCCCAAATCATCATCTTCTTCAAAGAATTCTTCTCCCAAATCAATATATTGGTTGATCCATGATGCTAAGGCTCCTGACTATTTTTTTTTGCGATCACACTTTTAGACACAAATATTTGAGCCTCTGGGCTTAATTTGCCATTCAAAGGAGGAGGTGAAACTTGTTCTTCTTCATCAACCAAATTAGCCAACCTAGAAATACTTATCTCTCCTTGTTTATATAAATTTGTAAATATAAGTTCGTAAGTTAAGTTTAATTAAGTTTTTTCAAATGTTTTTAAGCTTAAGTTTTCAAGATTTGAATCTTTTAAAGTTAATAAATTATTAAGTTATATGTTATAAGTTATACTTTTGACTTTGTAATTTAACTAACTTAAGTTTGTAATATTAAAAAATTAAATAATCAAAAAAGAAATGCTTATAAAAGTATATTATAATGACACAAATTAAAAATAATATCAATCTCATTTATTCAAACAGGCTGCTGCAGGCCTATTTTTAATTAATGAAAAATACCGGGACTGGAAATGAATAGATACCAATATCAAATTATGCTACCGTTTCGTTCCGAGTACCGATTTACTGTTAGTGAAAAAACTTACAAGATAATAAAATTGCAAGATTACAATTGAAAATAAAATGAAGAAATTAATCTTCAGGCTGAAGCGCGGATATCTCGCTCTCTTTAAGGAGATTCAAGCCCACTGCAGCAAATGTTTTCACTGGTCCAGTAGTAGTCCTCTTTGACTTGTCCCCTCCAGGATACAACATCTTTCCCAAAGTATAACTCAGCAAATCTGGACAAGAGTTGAGTCCAAAGCTCCACAAAAAAGAACACCTCCCTTAAACTAATAAGAACTCTCTTTTAGACTAACCCTTTCACTCTTTGTTTTCTCTTGTATTTTGTGTGTGTACCAAATCAAATGAAGACCACCACTATTTATACTACAAGAAGTCTTCCTAGCAATGAATAGGAAGATAATGGAGGTAGTTAATAATGAAGATAATGGCCTTAGGAGTTTCATAGGTTACAATAGTAATAGAGGAATTAACTAAATAAAGTGATGGATAACCAATGGTAATGGATGATGTAGAAGTTATCCATTCCAATGTTTATTGGAATGTTTTTATCTCACAATGAATACATGACTACCAGGTCAAAGATGAATAGTATGATTAAATTGATAGTTTTAACACAATATCTACCAATGGTCATTCTTATAACTCCTAAATAAAGCAATTTAACATGTTAAATATTATTATTAAAATGCTAATAACCTAACATTCACTATATCCATTTCATCTTGAATACTACTAGACCGAGATGGTACCAAAACGGTATCTGTACAACCCCATCAGATGCCTAGTTTTAATTACACGTAGGGTGCTAAAATTGATAATAAACAAATCATATATTTGGTAAAATATTGATAATATTTTAAAAAATTTATTCATAAAGTAAAATTAATTTAAAAGTATTTTTACATAAAAAGGAGAAATGACGAAAATAAAATAAAGTGATAATTCAAAGTTTTGTTTTAGGAAGAACATTTTAGGGGGTACAAAAAGGAGGGTAAAATTGTAAAATGATTTGTCAAATTAAAGAAATATGCTTATGAACTAGTTTGAACAACTTATAAACTTTAACTCAAATACCTTCTAAATATAAAAGTATCTTATTGGGTACCAGTACTAGTTATTACTTATACTAAATATAAGAATCTTCTTCTGTAATAATTTTGAGTACACACCTAATTGTCTTAAATTTTTCATATATTTTTTAATTATATTGAATTGATTGTGATTATAGTACTTTTTATGTAGTTTACAAATATATATATATATATATATATATATATATATATATATTATTTCACGCGCAGATTTCGATCAATTTTAAACTATTTGACTCTCAAAAAACGAAAAGCACCTCATAAATTGGGACAGAAAAAATACAAATACTTTAGTTTAGACATATAAGCAATTCCTATCTATAAAACGGTAGAGCTACTCATGTAATGATGAATCACACTTGTTATTGTAACATAGAAGAGAGATGAGCCTTAAAGGAGATGTTTTTCATGAGTTCTTTAGGCAAAGACCACACCATCTCTCAAACATATGCCCTGATAAGATACAAAATGTGAATATTCATGAAGGTGAATGGGGCACTGTTGGCTCTATTAATTTTTGGAACTTCACCCATGGTAAACATATATTATATTTGATTTTAATATTTATTATGAATATGGTCCATTAGTTTTAGTCTTTATAAATTTGTTTTTAGTTGTATATACCTTACATGCATAAGAATAACATATATATATATATATATATATACATACATACATATATATATATATATATATATATATATATATATATATATGGATCATTAATTTGATCCAACACATTTGTTGATTCAAACGGTTTTTAACCCGTTTAAATTCAATCCAAATAACTTGATCGTATAAAAATAAAATTAGTAGTATGAAATCTTTTTTTCCCCAGATGAAATAGAGAAGGTGGCAAAGGAAATAGTTGAAGAAATAGATGAAGAAAAGAAGTTGATTAAAAAAAATGATTGAAGGAGATCTATTGGAGGATTACAAATCATTTTATATCACTACTCATGTTGAGACAAAGGGTGAAAACAAATTAGTTATTTGGATTATTGAATATGAAAAGAAGAATGCAAATGTGTCAGATCCACATACTTTCATGGAATTTGCTCTCAACATGACCAAAGATATTGAGACTCACCATATTAAGTGATACATAAATATATTTACTTAGGAATAATGTGTGATGTGATTAATGAATGTGCTTTGAAATATTTACTATATATGTAAAAAAAAAAATAAATGGAGTGAATATGTAATTTCTATTTCGTAAAATTCTGCTTATAATATAAATAAAAGCTACAATTGCATAACAGTTTCCCTTTTCTTATTCCTTAAAAATATATCCTATTGTACTTTCTTTGATAAAAAAGAAGGAAAAACTATCTATAGTTATAGAAATTTCTATTACATCTACTGAATATAATTATATTTTAAAATAGTTACATGATTAAAATATTTTTAATAGAGATAATTCAAGTATCTTAGGGTTTATAGTTCAAGGAATGAGACATCAATGACGATGATATCACACACTGCATTGGTGCAATGTGGATGAAGTGGAGACTTGCCTCTGAAGCCTTGTGTGATAAGAAGATACCGCTGAAACTCAAAGGTAAGTGTTATAAAGTTTCCTTTTAATCTGGTCAAATAAGGATTTTTTTTTTGGTGATTCGAACGACATTGTTATGTGAGAATGAATGTTGGCCTCTCAAGAACTCCCATCTCCATAAGATGCATGTTGCAAAGATGAGGATGTGAGGTAAATGTGTGCTCTTACTAGAAGTAATAAGATTAGAAATGAAGATATTCGGTATAAGGTGGAAGTGGCCTTTGATGTGGATAAGATAAGAGAAGCAAGATTGAGATGATTTTGACATGTAGAGAGAAGATGAATAGATGCATTAGTCATGAGGAGGTGCGAGAGGTTGGTTAAAGAGTGCAAGGAAGAGGCAGAGATAGACCGAAATAGTATTGAAAAGAGGTAATAAGACAGATTTAACGCAACTTCAAGTTACTAATGATATGACCCTAGAAAAAAGGATACGGAGGACATATATTAGTACAGAACGGTAGTAATTATAGGTGACTACAAAATTTTGTTAAATAGGATTAGCATAAATTTTATTATTTAGCTGCAGTATTTGTCAATTGCCAATTTTTTTTTAAAAAAAAGTTGTGATAGGGAACTACATAATTAGTTAAAGTAAAAAAGCCACCTCAAAGATTTGAAGTACCACTAGAAATAAATGCCTTACATAATAAATCACATAAATAATCCTTCCCAAACACAAGAACATTATATTAGGCAAACATACATGATAACCCTATGTAATGAAATGTGTCATTTTAAATATATATGTCACATCAACCACTGAAAGATAAATTCCATATACCACGTGCTCAAGGCTTTTTAGGCACTTGTGGAATTTTTAATTTTGACAAAGTTGACAAATCAGGCTTAGAAATGGAACGAATCTCGACTTTTGGCAACATTGGAAATTTAGGTTTCGGAAATGTTGAAAACTCCTGCTTTGGGAGTTGTGGCAATTCGGGCTTTGAAATTTCAGAGAATTCAGAAAGATGCGGCAATTCAATCTTAGAAAGCTCAGACAAAGTTATTTCAAGAAAATGTCGTGCTTCTGCTTGAATTTTATAGTTACTAGCTAACGACAAAGTGATGAATAGTAACAAGAAAAAAGATGGATTAATGTGGTGATAAAGCCATTATTGAAGGTGAATTTTTTTAGTGTTTTAATTCATATGACTTATGCTTCAGTCTGAACAAATTTATAAGTTGTGAAAAAATGATAATAGGAACAAAACTTTGGTTGGTGGTTAATTGGTTAAGAAAAATGTCTGTTAGTTCATCTTCTCAAACAATAATAGTTATACTTTAATCTGCCAAACATTTTTTTCCATGTGTCACATCTACCACACAATTTTATATTATCTACCCTAACAATGGATTGCTCCCTACTATGCCATTTCTGGAATCTAGTAATTTTTGTTCATGACTTGTATCGTATTACTCCTTAAAATATCCACTAAATATCTAGGTATATTTAATGTAAACTTAATTTTGGTCACACCAATGAAATGACTTTAGAGTGTGAGCTATTATGGGGGTATCTTTAGTTTTCTTTTCGTACACAAGTGCAAATATAATCCATTCATTTTCACAGGATATAATAACTAAGAAGAAATTATATAACTTTAAAAAACTTGCTCCAATCACTTTCCAAGTGATTGATTTCATGTGAGAATCGATGACTGGTTGAGTCTTTTCTATCTATTTACTAAGATCAGAAAATACAATAGGTTTTATAACTCCCAATTAAAATGTTCAAATCTTCATGCGACGCTCAGATCGCTATTAAAATGATTTTGTAGCAATTTTACAGGCTTCAATAGCAACTTCACTCGTCACTAAAAGCTCAATTTCTTGTTAGATGATATCTCACACAATAGGAATAGTGTTTGGTTGGGGTGGGGTGGGGTGGGATGGGGTGGGGGGTAGGCATCATTTTCTTTTATAAATTAGTGGTTACATGTTTGGGGCTAACATTGAGAACAAACAAATAATTAATGTGTTTGGTAAAATAATTTTGATAAGCTTTTTTCCTATTATATAATGAAAAAAGATAGAAAAGATAAAATTATAAAGTGATTGGTCAAATTAAAAGTACTTAATTATAATTAGCTATAAAATCATCATATAAAAATGACCAACTTATGGTTGATTTTGGATTATAAGCACTTTAGTTATAAACACGTGAGTGCTTGCCAACTATATGATAAGCTTTAAAGATATACTTATAAACTAGTTTGAACCACCTAGAAACCTAACATAATGCCTTCTTAATATAAAAAGTAGCTTATTTGGGTACTATCTATAACCAAGAGTCTTTTTCTGTAATAATTGTGTGTAGAATTACATGCACACACCTAATTATGGACCCTTTGGCCATAGATTTTCCAAGTAAAATTTGAAAAAGTTGGTCAAAATTATTTTGCGAGAAAATATGGCTAAAGTTTGGCCATAATGATATTTTCTCTATGTTATTTTATATTTAGAAAAAAATTTAATTACCTGTTAACTTTAACACGTTTTCAGTAATAAATGGAAAAAAATTAATTTATTTTAAAATAGAAATTTTTTTTTATAGTTTTTAAAATTTTCTGATCAAATTCTGACCAAATTTTCTGGCTGTTTAGCACTTTCCATTTGTCAAGTAGTGTTTGTCCAATTAATTTGTCACTATTTAGCAAATATTTTTGGTAAATAAATCAAATTCCCAAATACTAGTATTTGTTGGTACTTCATTCATGGTACGCCACCAACATACCACTTCAACTAATTTTTGTTAAGGCAGATTCAAGATTTAATATTTATGAGTTTCAAATTAATGTAAACAATAATTGGATTCACAATTATCTATTTAACAATGAGTTTTTCACAAATACAAAAGTTAACTGATTACAGTACAATTACATAACAATTTTTGTAATTGATGATAGAATATCATGACAAATATAATATATCCGAAATGAAATGTTCTAGCACAACAAAGAAAACTCTTGACACAATAATAAAGTGTAACATATCCAGAATGCTTTAAATGAATCAAAGAGCATTTCATATATATGCATCGCACGCCCTCAAGGCATTTTTGGCACTTGAGGAATTTTCGGCTTTGACAAAGTTGGTAGTTTAGCCTTAGGATGACAGACATCTCGAGTTTTGATAAAGTTGGAACTCTGGGCTTTGGTAGAGAATTCGTAGCAGATTTGGAATTTCAGGGAATTTAGGATTTGGTAAAGTTGGGATTTCTGGAAGCAATTAAGGCTTAGGAAGCTCGGGAATAGTTACTTCAAGAAGATGGCGCGCTTCAGCTTAAATTACATAGCAACTTGTTATTGACAAAGTGACATGTAATAACAAGAAAAAAGATTGATTCTGATGGTAAGACATCGTTGAAGATTGATTGTCCTTTTAAGTTTCACTTTTGACAAGTTTATATAGATATGTGTATGTTGAAAATAGGAATTGAAAACCAAGTTTTTGTTGTGATAATTGGTAGAAAAAATTGTTTGTTAGGAACATTCTAATTTTAATTTAGGCATAATACATAAATATGACTCTTAACTTAGTATCAGTTGGCAACTCTGACCCTTAACTTTTGATTTGCACAATTAAACATTTAAACTTGTATAAAATTGAACAAATTGGCATATTCGTCCTACATAGCACCCTACATGAAAATTTTGCGTCCTACATAGCATCCTGCATGTATCATGCCATGTTTTAAAAAGAACATTTTAGGGAGTATAAAGATAGAAAAGGTAAAATTGTAAAGCGATTCATCAAAATAAAAGTGATTACAATATGTAAAAAATCATAAATAAAAAATGACCAACTTATGGTTGATATCGAATTATAAGCACTTGAGTTATAGGTGTTTGCCAACTATATATTTAAGCTTTAAAAATATGCTTATGAACTAGTTTGAACCACTTAGAAACTTAACCTACTTAATTTAAAAGTAGCATATTGGGTACTAGATATAACCAAAGACTCTCATTCCATAATAATTGTGTGTAGTTAATTACAGACACACACCTAATTATGTATATGAAAAAAAAATGAAACTTATAGTCTAAAGTCTAGACATATTGACATTGCCTGACTATAAAAGGGCAGAACTATTCATGTAATGATGAAGCACATATTTGTTATTATAACTTAGTCATATATCATAGAAAAAATGAGTCTCGAAGGTAAGTTGGTTTCTGAAATAAATATCAAATGTGATGGAGATGTGTTCCATGAAACAATTATGTACAAACCACATTATATGTGCAACATATGCCCTGATAAGATACAAAATGTGGATATTCATAAAGGTGATTTGGGTACTATTGGCTCTGTTAGGTTCTGGAAATTCACACATGGTACGTAAATCCATATTATATTAATTCATATCGATTTTAGTTTGTCCAAATTCAGTCCAACTCAATCGATCATTACTAAGCGAAAGTAGTATGAATTTAATTTTACTATATATATTTGTTTGTGTAGATGGGAAAGAGATGGTGGCAAAGGAAGTTATTGAAAAAATAGATGAAGAAAAGAAGTTGGTTAAAAAAAAGATGATTGAAGGAGATATGTTAGAATATTATGAATCATTTTACCTCACTATTCATGTTGAGACAAAGGATGAAAATAACTTAGTTACTTGGATTTTGGAATATGAAAAGAAGAATGTACATGTGCCTGATCCACACACTTTCATGGAATTGTGTATCAATATCACTAAAGATATTGAGAGTTACCACATCAAGTGATACATAAATACATATATGTACGTACTTGATATAATATTATGTGGTGTGGTTAATGAGTTTTCTTTGAAATATCTAATATATATGTAGAGAAAATAAAGGGAGTGGATATTGATAAATAAAAATATATGAAAGTGTTATAAACAATTTGTGTTATAGTGAATGTCTAATTATGTGTAGTCCTTGTATGATATGGTTAGGAATCCTACTTGGAGACCAAGTAGGGTTTTCCATATACATAAAGGGTTTTCCTTAATTGTAAATAAGATCATTGATAGATCAATGAATCCTGAATATACTTCAAGATGAATAAAAAATCTTTCTCTTTTCCCTACTTTATTCGTCTTCTAACTTCATATAGTTTCATAACACGTTATCAGTACGATTGTTCTATTCTTAAAGAATGATGAAGAAGACGGAAAAAATGCAAAAGAGATCTTGCATAAGTTATGCAATAAGGTTCTTATATCTTCAAGATATGATTTATCTTTATGTTATAACTAATTATGTAACAGAGGTACCATCTAAAGTAAGTATTTAAAGAGACTTGTCGACTTTTTATACCTTCAATTTTAATCGACTGGGATAGAATTCTTTAATTTATTTAATAATTAAATAAGCACAATTTAGTGAAAAGTATGTTTTCGACCTTTTTATGAGGTAAGTCATCTATTAAGCTATATTTATTAACAACTAATGTTGATTATAGTAAATCAATAATCTCAACTTTGTGAGTAATTATAGTGTACAATTATATTAATTATCATCAAAGGTTATAAAATTACAATTATTTTGAAGGCTTGAGGTTGAGCCTCATTATGGGTAAGACGATAGATTTAAGTTTTTATCGCACCAAAAGAATAAGACGATGCATTTATGTCCAATCACATCAAGAGGGTAAGACATAAGAAGTCTTGATGTTTTGTGATGAAAGATGTTGGATTCAAGTATCTCTTTGATTTATGGCATAAGACGTTGGGTTTGAGTCTGAATGCACCATATTGATGATAAAATTAAAATTTACTCATAAAATAATAAATCAGAAATTTACCAAAGCAAAAGACACATGGCGTAGTAAACTTGGAGTTTCCGAGTACTACTAATTTTATTAGTTGGCATGAATAATTTGGTCATCCCAAAGATGTTCATACTGAGTAATGGACATAGATTGAAAAACTAGAAAATTCTTCGAGAATTCTTTACGTTGCTTCTTCTCGTGATAAAGTTGATTGGATCAACTAAAGTTGGGACTAAATCCCTAAATTCTGAAAAGTATAAAAGGTGAATATGGGCCCATTTACCTATCATGTGATATGATAAAAAGATGTATCAATAAGATAATGACATGTGCGTTTGTTGTCAACTTGCAGTTTGACATTCGCAAATTGTGCAAGATAATTGAGCTAAAAGCACAACTTTCAGAATATGAAATCAAGATAATTCACCTTGATAATATTGATAAATATATAAGATGATATGACATTAAATGTCACACATAGTGAATCATTACTTATGAAAATAAAGTTTCATATGTTGATCTGAAATATGATATTACATACAAACGTAATTATATGAATCAAACCAATAAGTTAAGATCATTTTTATTGTTAATTGGTTTATGGTCAGGGATCTGTGAACACCTAATTTTTGACGTGTTTATTTTACTCCTATAGTATTTTAGTAAGAATTTTTTATTTTTTTTAATTTGAATTTTTGGTATTTGTATTTATTAGTTTATTGGCTCAAATGACCCAATTTTGTTTAAATTGGGCTGATTTAAATCAATTTTGATGGCCCAATTGATCTTGACCCGGTCCATAGAAATGGTCAAGATTGAATCTCAACCATTCATGATATTTTGATATTGGACCCAAACAAAAATACAAAACTCTAAAAAATTAGCATTTTCCTTTATTTTTATTTTAGATTTTTTGTCCCTTTCTTCTTCCCCTTACTACCATGCCGCCTGCCGGCCACCGCTACCGCCACCACGCCGCCGGCCACCCACCCCTCTTTGGTCGGAATTTTTTTTAAAATTTTACCATCTTTTCCTTTCATCCTCCTCTACCTAAATCTACAAACCTTTCATCCATATCTATAGCCAAACTCCGTAGATCTAAGGAAAACCAAATATAAATTTTTACTTTTTCCTTAGATTTATAAAGTTCCGGTCATTCCTATCCCAAACCCTTTACATAAATGTGTAGAGCTCTTCAAGGGCTATCATTTGATATAAATTTAAGTTCAAAATCCATCAAAAAAATTTCCGGCAAAGTTTTCCGGCGACCTTCATTACCCGAAAGATATGTCAATCTTTTCCCCCCTCTCAATCTTTATCCAAATTCATCATTATCTTTTTTTTTGTTTGACCATATAAGTCGTTTGATGTCGGATTATGTTATTAATGTTCTATAAGTTTATCATGTTGATGAGTTGCTTGAGGTATTATTATTTTGTTTTTATTTCAATTTTTCTGTTAATTATTTAATTATTTTGACTTTTTTTTCTGCATTATTTTGTTGTGTTTGATCTTTAAAATTATTTAGATGTTTAGATTTTGTGATAGTGGGTCAATTTGTTTAGGTTTTGAGGAAATGGGTCAACATTTGGGCCTATTTTAAATTTTTTCAGATGGCCCATTAACTTTTATTCAAACAATGAATAAAAGAAATGGGCCAACTAAATGACATTGGGCCTATTATTTTCTGATGACCTATATAACTATATTCAATTAATGAATAAAGTAAATGGGTCATTTAAAAGGGCAAAAGAATTATGCAATTAATCTGATTTTTTTCTTAAAACAAAAATTAAAAAAAAAGAAAAGAAAGGAATTTCATTGGCCATCTTGGGTGGCACCTTGGGAAAACAAAGAGTCAAATGCATGCATTGGCTCTTAAGTTTTCAAGAAAGGTGGGATGTTAATGTTGTTCACCTATTTAAACCCCCTTGGGGAAGAAAGAAAAGGAGGAGATATAGAAAGAAAATTGGAAAAAAATACTTACTTAAAAAATTTCTTCTTCTTAAAGAAAAAAAAAGAAGAAGATATCTCTATTGGGTTGTCTTGGGAATTCAATTAAATTTGCTCCTATATTTGCTTGTCATCAACTCTAGGTATTTCTTTTTTTACATTTCAATGTAATCTTTATGTTATTGTTATGTTTTGTTTTTTTTGAAAAATTGTTGATATTTTTTGCTAAGCTTATTATAATTCTCGTATGATTATGTTTATCCTTATGTTACTTTGTTTGTATATTTCTATTAGTTTATTATTCTATAGTGTTTTTCATATCATTATGTTTATTATGATGTACACATATATTATTAATTATTTTTAGCTTAAATTTTAGCTTTAGTAAGTAAAAAGAAAAAAAATATAAAAAAAATAAAATAAAACAAGTAATTAAAATATAACAATTGCAAATCTTTTACGTTTTCGGTAACTTTCTTTTTTAAGGAATGAACTTAAGAAAAAAAATATATAAAAAAATAAAACGTAAAACTAGTTATTTTTGCAAAAGGGTTTAATCTGGTCATTTTTGCAACAAAAGAAAAAATGTAAATTTGGTTATTTCTGCAAAAATGTAAATCTGGTTATTTCTGCAAAAAATGTAAATTTGTTTATTTCTGCAAAAAATGTAAATCTGGTTATTTCTGCCAATATGTAAATCTGGTTATTTCAGCAAAAATGTAAATCTGGTTATTTCTGCAAAAAAAATAAAATCTGGTTTTTTCTATTAAAAAAAAGGTAAATATGTTTTTGTTTTTTTTTTTAAAAAAAAATCTCTAAAAAAAATTAATTTTTGAATTGATAATTAAAGTAAAAATACAAATTTGACTAACTTGACTTAATAATTCAACAATTAAAAATTTGTTATTTTGCAATCTTCTATCAAATAAGTCAAGGTAGTCATTTATATATATAGATTTTTTTTTACCGAATTGGTTATTTCTTAAATTTTTATCAGTATATATATATATATATATATATATATATATATATATATATATATATATATATATATATATATATATATAAACTAGTATATCGTTAGTTTAAAAGAGTGTTTTTTCTTTTGTTCTCATTGTCTAGTAGTAATTTTTTTTTCTTTTGCTAAAATCATAAATAAATGCTAGAATTTTTTTTATAATAATAAATAAATAAAAACTAATCATTTCTTGATTTATATGTTGCACCATTTTCTTTTATCCATTCATGACGTTATTTTTTTGAGTAATTAATTATTATTTTAAAAAAAAATAAAAAATTAAAACTTTAAATACCATCATGTGTTCGGTTACGATCCTTGGTGTGTATTTCTTTTCTAAAAGAAAGGTCTTGTGTGCGGTTACGCTCTACGGCCAATCATTTTTTTTTTAAAAAATAGTAATTAATTTTTTTCCCCTTTTATCCAAATTAAATAAATAAATTATTTTAGCCAAATATAAGTTAATAAAGCGACCGTGCTAGAACCACGGGACTCGGGGGGTGCCTCATACCTTCCCTCCGGTCAACTGAATTCCTTACCCAATCTCTGTTTTTCGTAGACCCAAAAAAAAGTTTTTTATTTTAAATTAAGAACTATCTGGTGACTTCAAACACCTAAAAAACTCAATTTCAAGTGGCGACTCTAAAAAAAATTAAAAAAAAATAAATAAAAAAAACCTGTCATATCCTCAACAATTAAAACTTGAATAAAAGAGGTGTGACAGATTTGGCGACTCCGCTGAGGATCACTTCTTTTAGAATTCGAGCTTTGTACATTAACTTTTTTTTCGCTATTTTTTTTATTTGGATAAATTTTATGTTTGGATGCTAATTGTGTTATTTCAGCAATTTATCGTTTTGATATTGTATTGTATACAAATTGTTTCTCTTACATACCCTCTGAGTCTCTGAAATTTTGTTATACACTGTGTGTGCGGTTACGCTCCACAGGACTTCTGTCTAGGATGAATCAGTGTGCGGTTACGCTCCTGATTCTAGGTTGTTACACATGTTAGGCGGGGTTGGACCACCAGTTAAGCCGGAATAGCTCTGCTACCGGCACGCTGACCCTCCCCGACTCGCGTTGTCCGCTCGAGTAGGCCAATCTAGACACCTTCATAAATGTTAAACCTACATAAAAAGTCTCTGGTATGCTTTTTTTTTATCATGTACATTTGACCTAGCGAAATTAAGATATCTATTCATGCTAGACCAAAATGTTCATTTTATATGCTATGTAAAAAATAGTTGGTTCAGAACGCTTTGACATTGTTGACCATTTTCAAAATAGCTTTGCGAGTTTAGTTTTTCTTTTTCTTTTTTTTTTAAAAAAGGTCAAATAAAAGGGGTAGTCTTTCCAAGAGAAGTTTTTCTTTTATGAATTACGCACACCTGATTCTCACTAAAAAGAGATACGTAGGCATCCTTTCAAGGGTTCGGTGTTTGTAAAAAATTGGTGTTTTATTTTATTTTCTTAAAAAAATAATTTTTTTTTACTTTTCTGTTTTCAATGTGTTAGAGTTTGTCATAAAAACCTTTGTTTGGTTCTATTTAAAGGTACAAATAGCATCATCGACAAAAGGACAAGGGTCAAAAAGGCCTAGAAGCGAAGGAATTCCAGAGTTCATGATCGCAGATACTATACCAAAAGATTTATGGCAATGGTGCACAGACATGGGAAGTCATGAGAAAAAAAGAGTAAAGGAACACTTGGGGCATTTAGTGCATCTTATGGAGATTGACCCTAGAAGGGATGTGGTCGAGGCATTGATTCCTTTTTGGGATCCCAAAAATAATGTATTTTGTTTTTCTGACTGTGAGATGACACCAACTTTGGAAGAAATTGCTGGCTTCATGGGGAAGGGGTCTACTTTTCGAGGTGCTGATCTACGCAATAAAAGACCCATAATTCCAAAACATGTTGATGCCAAAAAATTTCTAGAACTTCTCAAAATTAATCAAATAGAGAAAGAGAGTTTGAAAAATAGGTGGGTCTCTTTAGACTTTCTACACCAGAGATACGGTCAAAGGGATGGTTTCAAGAATTATCGGAACCAGTTGAGTAATCAAGGGGGTGAAGAAGCTTGGAAGGCAAATGAATGTTTTGCTTTTATGGTCACATTTTTGGGGCTCATTATTTTTCCCAAAAGGGACAAGCATATTGACATTCGTCTGGCTGGTGTGGTGAAGGCATTGACCACAATGGAAAATCCAACTATTATTCCAATGATCTTGGCAGATATGTTTCGCGCATTAACCAAATGTTTAAGTGGGGAAATGTACTTTGAAGGCTGTAATATTTTGCTACAAATATGATTTTTGGAACACCTTTATCATCATGATCGTGCGCCTAGGTTTACTCCAGATTGGTGCAACTATGTTTCCTCCCATAAGGAAAGGGAAGCCAAAATTGATTTTCCAAAAGGAATAATAGCGTGTGAAGAAAAACTTTCAGTGATCACATCTGATGAAATAGTGTGGAATTATTACTGGTTCCCAGCTAAGGATATCATTTGCATGTCTAGTGGTATCTCGTTTCTTGTGTTGATTGGTCTTAGAGGTGTTCAACCATATGCCCCACTTCGGGTTATGCGTCAACTAGCCAGAGTTCAAGAAATCCCACCCAATGATGATATGAGTAAGTTTGCATATGACACTCCACCAGGTTTTGCTTTTAACAGCGAAGAGATTATGAAGATTTGGTACGGGAGTATTATTTCTGAGCTAAGTGAAATGGTTGTGGAGAAAGATAAAGGAAAGGTGGTTCCTGGGTACCTATCGTGGTTTCGTGATCCGATGACATTTGGTGACACTCCTGAAGGATCCAGCAGAAAAAGAAGAGATCAACATATAATAAGACAATTGAAAAAAGAGTTGGAGAAGGCCAAAGCAACCATTGCACGGCAAGAAGTACAAGTCCAAAGAAGAAAAAATCACAAGTTAGAGTTGCAAGATGTGGAAGGAGAATTGAAGCATGCAGAGGGAAGACTAGCCCGATTGGAGGAGGAATTGGATAATAGAATCCACTTGGCACGACAGATAAAAAGGGAGCAGAATTTTGAGATCTCTCGATTGAAGAGGGGCTTCGAGGCATCCGAAGAGGCGCAAAGACAATTGATCATCGAAAGAGCAACACTTCGCCATCAACTTGAAGCAGCAGAAGGGCGAGAGGCCCTCTTGAGGAATAATCTGGGTAATCATCAGGCTTTGTTAAATGACTGTCATCAAAACATGGGAAGGGCTAGACTTCAAGTTCATCAACTAGCAGAGCAAACCTCCTATGTTATTAGAAATCAGCGCCGTATGAATGATCAAGAAGTGGTTGAGCAAGAACGGACCATTGTTCCCCATTTGCCGAAGGTGTTTCTGAATTTGTATGAGACCTTGGGAGGAAAAAGAAAGCCCCAAGAAAGTGATGAAGATTGAAGAAAAGTTTTAGTTGTTTTTGTTGTTCGTTTCATTTTGTTTGTTGAAAGACTTAGTTTCTAGTTTAAAATTTGGTGTTTAGGGATATTATGTTGATCCGGTTGTTTTAAACCTTTTGATTTTGTTATTTTCTTGAAGTTTTGGTGAATGAATTCCAAATTAATCTGTTTGAGTTGTCTAAATTTTTGAACTACGTAATGATCTGATTCATGCAATAACATGATACGTAGGCAACCTCCGAAGGGTCCGATCAGAATTTATTTTTTCAAAACTTTTTCTTTTTTTTTCCCAAAAAAAAGATAATAAGCAAAGTAAAGATGGGATGAAACAATGGCCTTCTGAACCCATGTTACTATGTGATTAATAAGTGTGTGATTGATTTATAAAATTGTCTAACCCCTAACAAGTTTGTTCATTTCACATCAACTCTAGTTAGCTTTCGGTGGTTAGGTTTGTGGTAAACTGGCAGAGCACCCGTACTTTACCAGGTCTAAGGTAAGAGCATCAATGACAACCAATACTGAAACTATGGTGAATCCATCAGACACTCCAATTGATTCAACAACAAGAGAGACAGTCACTGTTGAAGAAAATCGGACGCTGAGAAATATTATGGCACAATTGTGGCAAGCCTGGGCCAATGGACAAGAACCATCAACGTCTATTCTTGGTTTTCCTAAGGTCACTAGTATTCGATCTTCATCTTCTCAGGTCCCAATATCAGAACCTTTCTTCCCTCCAGGGTATGGTCCATTTGATAATTGTGGGGCCGGGCCATCAACAACACGTCCTCAAGGCATGCCATTTAGGAATAATCCCACTGTCACAACAGCTGCACCGGTCTATACACTCCCTCAACCGACTGTGATGCAAAGAGCAGCTCAAGACGGACAATTCACCACTCATCCGGAGCAGTACTATATTCCTGGGATAACATTTGGGGGCCCTAAATCTGTTCAATTTAGTGCCCCTATTGATGTTGAGAGGCCCACTCCAGGCTCAGAGCAAGAAGAAATGTTGAAAAAAATGAAAAGCATTGAGCAACACATGAAGAGCATGCAAGGGTTAGGAGGGCACAAAAGTGTTGCATTCAAAGACTTGTGTATGTTCCCAAATGTCCACCTGCCACCTGGGTTCAAAACCTGTAAGTTTGATAAGTATGACGGACACGATGATCCCATAGCCCACCTTAAGAGATACTGTAATCAACTTCGGGGTGCAGGGGGTAAAGAAGAATTGTTCATGGCTTATTTTGGTGAAAGCCTGACTGGTGTTGCCTCAGAATGGTTTATAGATCAAGATATTTCCCACTGGCACATATGGGATGATATGGCTCAAGATTTTGTTAGACAATTTCAGTACAATGTCGACATTTTGCCAGATCGTAATACACTCTCCAATACAAGAAAAAAACCAAGTGAAAGCTTCAGAGAATATGCTATCAAATGGAGGGAACAAGCAGCCCGAGTTAAGCCCCCATTAAATGAGCAAGAATTGGTTGATATCTTCATAGAGGCTCAAGATCCTGACTACTTCCACCACCTCACAGCCGCAATGGGAAGACCGTTTCACACAACAATCAAAATTGGGGAAATGGTTGAAAGTGGTCTCAAAACAGGAAGGACCATGAGCCAAGCAGCAATCAAAGCTACCACACAGGCCATTCAAGGTGGTTCAACAAGTTTTGGAAATCGTAAAAGGAAAGAGGAAGTTATTTCACTGGCATCAGGGTCAAGAGGAGCTCAAAGAAAGTCTAATTGTCCTTACACATCAGTTCAGGGACAACTTAGCTATCCTCAGCATTACTACCCTTATGCTCCTCAATATCCAGTATCTCCATCTCCGTACCCGGTCTTAAATGCTGAGTCATATGTGCATCCTCCCAATCGCCCACATTTTTGGGCCCCATCTCAAGGAAACTTTCACCCACAGCGGCCACCCTATCAAGTCCCTTACAACTCTCCTATTATGCGGAGTTATGCTCAAGATCAAGCACAGAAAAAGAAATTCACTCCATTAGGGGAGTCGTACTCCAGCTTGTTTCAGAAGTTAAGAAAGATAGGAGCGATTGAGTGCATCCCACCACATCGTCTGAATCCAAATGCTCCAGGTTTCCAAGCCAATGAAAGATGTGAATACCATTTAGGAGCCCCAGGACACAACACTAATAATTGTTGGACCTTGAAGGAGCAATAGAGAAGCTGATCGAGCATGGAGTTGTTGTTGTGACAGGTGATCAAAACACACCCAATGTGACCAATAACCCACTTCCAGCTGAAAACAACTTAGTGGGTATGGTTTATGATGATCAAGAGTACAGACTCCTCAGCAAAATGGGAAAGTTGTTTAGGAAGATTGGAGAAGAAGACAAGTCAATGAAGAGTTTAAAATCAGTTGCTTCTCTGAGTGCGGAAGGTGTCAATTTTGACACCAAAGTCTTGTGCGTCCCCGGGGTTTCAAAGGGGATTGAAGTTCGAGCAGCTATGCCAAAGTTGTATGTATCAAAAGGCTTTTCATTAACAGAACATGACCAAAGTGGCTTGACCAAGATGAAAGAGCCTATTTTTGTTAAGCCTGTTCAACAGCTTCCAGTAATTGATTCAAAGGCTGTCCCTTAGAACTATAACAAAATTGCAGTGGTTTATCAAGGAAAGGAGATTGTCGAAGAAGTTGATGAAGCAGGAGGTTTGACACGCTCTGGAAGATGTTATTCTCCAGTAGAATTAAGAAAAGGCAAGATGACTGAAAATATCCAAGTACCACTAAAGAAAGAGTTACTGAAGAAGAAAATGCAGAATTTCTAAAAAAGCTTAAGGTTCCAGATTACTCTGTCATGGAACAATTGAAGAAAACGCCTGCACAGATTTCACTGTTGTCTCTACTTTTGCACTCAGAAGAACATCGTCTGGTGTTGAATAAGGTTTTGAATGAAGCACATGTGCCAAAAGAGACCATCACTTTCACTAATGATGAGTTTCCCAAGGAGGGAGCTGGACACAACAAAGCTTTGCATCTTACAGTGACATGTGAAGGTTACTATGTAAAGAGGGTCATGATAGATGGAGGGTCAGGGGTAGACATATGTCCTCTTTCTACGCTGCAAAGCTTTAAAGTTAACACTGACAGAATTCGCCCCAGTAATGTATTTGTGCGAGCTTATGACGGCTCAAGGAGGGATACCATTGGTGAAATCAAGTTAAACATGACAATTGGGCCAGTAGTCTTTACGATTGTGTTCCAAGTAATGGATATGGAAACATCTTATAATTTTCTACTAGGAAGGCCATGGATCCACATGGCTCAAGCCGTCCCGTCAACTCTACATCAAGTTGTCAAGTTTGAATACAACAATCAGGAAATCACTGTTCATGGAGAAGATAATTCACCTATTTAAAGAGATCCATCCGTCCCATACATTGAGGCAAAGGAAGGATGTGATTCTGTTGTTTACCAGTCTTTTGAGGTTGTGTCGTTCGATCGCTGTAAAGAAGGAGAATCTATCATCCAATCATGTATCTCTTCTTCCACTTCAATGGTAGCAACGACGATGCTCAAATATGGTTATCAACCCGGTAAAGGTTTGGGAGTATATTCGCAAGGAATCGTGGATCCCATTACTCTTTTGGGAAACTAAGGCACCTCTGGCCTCGGATACAAACAAAGCAAGAGAAATGGAGATAAAGCTAAGAACCACAAAAGGATTGATTGGTCGTTGCCACAACCAATTCCCCATATTTCTCATTCTTTTATCGAACCGCAGGGTTCAGAATTGAAAGATTCATTCACTCCTGAAGATATTGAAGAAATCATTGAGGATCTCAGTCAGTTGTTTTGTGAAGTAAATATGGTCCAAGTTGTTGAAGGCACAAGTCATGCTAATATGCAGCTCGTGGGCTCAGGTGTTGAGTTAAACAATTGGGAAGACACTCCTTTCCCCATAAGGAAGGAGTCGTGGTAGTTTGTTTTGCTACTCTTTTGTATTTTGTTGTTCTCAGGGTTGTGGTCCGAATAGTTTAAAGTATTTTGTTATTGTCAACCGTTCTGTCCCTTTTGATGTCAATGAAATGAAATTTCAGCTTTATAGTAAATTTTTTTTCCTCTCTTAATTCTTATTTTCTATTTTTCAGTTCTGTAAATGACGGCTTTGATAACATGACATGCATGCGGAATTCACTACGTTGATTTCAAAGAGTTGTTTATTCTTGAATCACCAAGTCAAGAGGTGGAATATGATGAAGAAGAGGCTTTTAGGGAAATTAATAGGGAACTGGAACAATTTGAGCACAAACCGAAGCCTAATCTTAGTAAAACTGAGACAATCAATTTGGGAAGTTCCGGGGATGTTAAAGAAATAAAAATAAGTTTACATATCAATCAGGAAATTAGAGAGGCAATAATACAACTTTTGTTTGAGTACAAAGATGTATTTGCTTGGTCTTATGATGACATGCCAGGTTTGAGTGTTGATTTAGTGGTTCATAAGTTGCCCGTTTATCCTGATTGTCCACCCGTCCAACAAAAAAGAAGGAAATTCAAACCGAACGTGAGTGAAAAAATCAAGGAAGAAATAATGAAACAATTGAATGCAAAGGTGATCCAAGTTATTCGTTACACTACTTGGTTGGCAAATGTTGTTCCTGTGCCGAAAAAGGATGGAAAGACAAGAGTTTGTGTTGACTATCGGGATTTGAACAAGGCTAGTCCAAAAGACAACTTTCCATTGCCAAATATCCACATCTTAGTTGATAATTGTGCAAAACACGAAATGCAATCTTTTGTGGACTGTTATGCGGGGTATCATCAAATCTTAGTGGATGAAGAAGATGCTGAGAAAACTGCTTTCACCACTCCATGGGGAACTTATTGCTACAGGGTCATGCCATTTGGTCTTAAAAATGTTGGAGCGACTTACATGAGGGCTATGACCACCATGTTCCATGATATGATGCATAAAGAAATTGAAGTATACGTCGACGACGTAATCATCAAGTCTAAAACACAAGTTGATCATGTGCAAGATCTGAGAAAATTATTGGAAAGAGTGCGAAGATATGACCTCAAGCTTAATCCAGTAAAATGTGCATTCGGAGTTCCATTTGGAAAACTTCTGGGTTTTATTGTCAGTAGAAGGGGAATCGAATTGGATCCCTCCAAAATAAAAGCCATTCGAGATCTGCCATCCCCAAAAAATAAAATCGAAGTTATGAGTCTACTTGGGAGGTTGAACTACATCAGTAGGTTTATTGCTCAACTCACAACCACATGTGAGCCCATTTTCAAACTTTTGAAGAAGGATGCTGCTGTCAAGTGGACTGAAGATTGTCAACGAGCTTTTGAAAAAATCAAGGAGTATTTGTCCAACCCTTCTGTGTTGGTACCGCCTGTACCTGACAGGCCTCTCTTTCTATATCTTTCAGTAACAGATAATTCCTTTGGGTGTATTCTCGGTTAACATGATTCTACAGGAAGGAAGGAGCAGGCTATCTACTACTTGAGCAAGAAATTCACTAGTTATGAGGTCAAGTACACCCTTATGGAAAGGACGTGTTGCGCCCTAACTTGGGTAGCTCAAAAGTTTAGGCATTACTTATTGTCCTACACAACTTACCTCATATCAAGGATGGATCCTTTAAAGTACATATTTCAGAAGCCAATGCCAATTGGCAGACTCGCAAAATGGCAAATTTTGCTCACTGAATTTGACATTATATATGTCACTCGCACTGCAATGAAAGCCCAAGCTTTGGCAGACCACTTGGCAGAGAACCCAGTCGATGGGGATTACGAACCATTGGATAGATATTTTCCAGATGAAGAGATTAACTCAATTGAGGAAGTAGGTTCAAATGGAAATCAAGCTTGGCAATTGTACTTTGATGGAGCAACCAACATCAAAGGCACAGGGATTGGGGCAATTTTAATATCGCCCACAGGGAAACATTACCCCGCAACAGCTCGACTTCGCTTCTTTTGTACAAATAACACCACTGAGTATGAAGCTTGCATCATGGGTCTAAATATGGTAATAGATTTGGGTGTGCAAGAATTAATCGTGTTGGGAGATTCTGATTTGCTTATCCGACAAACTTAAGGCGAATGGAAAACTCGAGACCTCAAGCTCCTTCCATATAGACAATAAGTGGAAGATCTTAGCAAAAGGTTCAGGTACATCGAGTTTAGATACATTCCCAGGTTTCATAATGATTTGGTCGATGCCCTGGCTACTTTGGCCTCAATGCTTCCCTATCCTGGAAACACTTACATCACCCTATTAGAGATTCAAGTTCGGGACCAACATGGCTATTGTAATACAGTGGAAGCAGAACCTGATGGTGAGCCATGGTACTCAGACATAAAGAATTTTTTGAAGGTAGGGAGATGCCTCGAACATGCCTACAAAAGCCAAAAAAGAACTATTAGACGTCTGGCTAATGGTTTCTTTTTGAGCGGGGATGTTTTGTATAAACGAACTACGGATTTGAATTTATTGAGATGTTTGGATGCTGAAGAAGCCGAGAAAATTATGAATGAAGTGCACGTTGGGGTATGTGGACCACACATGAACGGATATGTACTTGCAAAAAAGATACTCCAGGCGGGGTATTATTGGCTTACCATGGAAAGAGATTGCTTTCACTTTGTGAAAAAATGTCATCAATGTCAAATTCATGGAGATCTCATTCATTCACCTCATTCAGAGTTGCACCCCATGGCTGCTCCTTGGCCCTTTGTTGCATGGGGAATGGATGTAATCGGACCAATTGAGCCCAAAGCCTCTAATGGACATCGATTCATTTTGGTTGCAATTGATTACTTCACCAAATGGGTGGAGGCGATAACTTTCAAAGTAGTCACTAAGAAGGCGGTTGTGGATTTTGTTCATTCAAACATTATTTGTCGATTTGGTATCCCAAGAGCTATCATCACAGATAATGCCGCAAACCTCAATAGTAATCTGATGAAGGAGGTATGCGAGCAGTTCAAAATTATGCACCACAATTCTACTCCATACCGACCGAAAGACAATGGAGCTGTGGAGGCAGCCAACAAGAATATTAAGAAGATTCTCAGAAAGATGGTTCAAGGCACTAGACAATGGCATGCGAAACTGCCTTTTGCACTTTTAGGATATCGCATAACAGTGCGTACCTCGATTGGTGCAACTCCTTATTTGCTGGTGTATGGAACTGAGCCTGTGATTCCAGCAAAAGTTGAAATTCAATCTCTTCGAATTATTGTTGAGGCTGAAATTGAAGATACCGGATGGGTCAAAACCCGACTAGAGCAACTCGCATTAATATACGAGAAACGATTGATGGCTCTCTATTTTGGTC